ATCAGCCCAGGTATTGTCTCAACCTATCGCGCGAGCGGTGGGCTGAAACTCGACCCAGTCACGACCATGAATGCAATCCGAGGGAAACAGACAATCGTGTCTCATCATCGCGTCCAGACGCAAAGCAAATCATTCGCCTACATTGCCAGTGAGGGAAGCGGAATGAATTATGCGTGATCACGGAATCCAACCGAGCTTCAGCCACCCCACAAAAACGATCGCTCAAACAACATTTGCCCAATCCTTTTCCAGCCCTGTCTCCATTGTACTCATCAGTTCACTCCACGGTTTTTTTCTTTGTGTATACCGGGTTTCCAATTTCAAAAAATCGTTCATTTTCCGGAGATGGAACGAAGCTGAAGTGACTTTCGGTTCTTCTCACGAATAATTTATTCTATTCGCACATCTCCAGCTGGGATTTTCTAGCAAGCAGAAGTTCATCTAGTCTTTTCATGCAGCGTTTACACGCGTATAGACCGCTAGAGTGCATAGGCCACAAGGAAAAAATGCATCCACCGACGAAAATTTCCAACCGTTCGGGGAAAATATGACCAATGCATAGACCAAACCTACACATGTTCGAACTAGAAATTCCAAAAGGTTGAGAATTAGAGAAATCCTCAGGCACCAATGATTTTAAACTCACATGATAATTTATGTTCTAAGTACTCTGTGTCTAGGCAATGAGCCCGTCGAAAGCGAAGTTTTGATATACAGTACAGTACTGTATCCATCAGATATCGCATAATTTCGAGTAAATGCCGACGTTGTGGCCTATGCATACGAGGCTGCATCCTCCACCAGCCGAAAAAGAGTGCGGCCTATAAAGCTTAAATGTTTTACTTTATACCACGGTACTCAGATGTAGATTCAATCAAATCACCCAGAAGACTTCCCATATGCCTGTTTGTGTCGAGATAAGTAAATCTGGTGGATATTAAAGCCAGCAGTCAAACATTTTTTAAAAACAATAATTTACGAGAAGACCATCCTAACTGTGACTCCTGGGGACATTTATCACAGTGAGTGGTTCGATGATACTCTTGTGCAATAATTATAACATGTCGAGCAAATCCTGAAATATATTAAAATCAGAGCTGTTCAGTCATTTTGAAGGGCGGGAAATCTCTAAAGTACTATGATCTCTAAAGTTCTATGATCAAATCACTTAGTCCTGACTCCTGCCTAGCTTATGTCCTAAAGCTCGATGACATTTACGAACATAATGTTACTTTGTTTGTGCAAAACACACATTATTCCTTGTCTGTTTTTCGTCTCGAGACTTGTAATCAATTGAATGCCGTGCTTCCTGAACGATTTTCTTGAAGTGGCCCTGAGATTTGCATGCGGCCAACATTCGGGCTCTATGAAAAGCATATACACGCTGCAAACTCAATTTATTTTTCAGATCGTTTTGTTTCTTCCAGGAGTCCGACGCTTCGAAATATTTCGCTCCATTTACAACGAGTAAAAAGTAACCAGTCCGGGGAAATCTTTTTCTCAGACCAGGGTAATTCCTTGGACCAACGGTTGAAAAACAAAAATCTCAAATTTCTCAAGACACATATTGCCGCCATCAGCAGGGGGGTAACTTTTACTGCGGACCGGCAGCGGTCTTTAGACCACAGGTCGGAGAAATATTGGACTAGAATTCCCTGGATGATGAGGTTAAAAAACGTGGCTCTCTAAACAGACTTGAAAGAAGAAACGCAAATGCGTCTTCGAAGGTCTACTCGGAAGATGAGACATTTCCGGTGGAGAAATCCCACGGGAGAGAGGAGGAAATGTGAATTTCCCGGTAATTGAATCGCCAACCGACTCAGTGGGAAGACCGTGACACAACTGGGTCGGGAAGGCGGCGTCGCGACATGACGTAAAATGTCATCCTCGGCATGCGTCCCGCCGACAATAAGTGAAACAGTGCGATTATAACATCACCGGATCCCTTGTATCAATAAATATCGTGGCAGGATTCCATTAGAGTGTGTCAATCACCCGCGGAGTCGGAACAGGGTTCCAGGGCGCGAAGTCGCATCACGGTTGATGGCAGATTTGCTGACGCCTTTTCCGACATCTGGCGCACAGACTTTACGTCGCACGACTAGAAAGCTGCTTCTCTGGAAATGTTTAAAAACATATCCTCTCCTTTAGAGCAAGTTGTTTAAACCTCGACTCATTCCATGGAATGTATTCGTATTTAAGTGCAGGACAATACGGTTTAGCAGCAGGAGAGGCCAAAAATCGTGCAATACACCCAGCACATGCATTTAGGAATAAATAGCAAGACTTGAAGGGATCATCTGTTTATTCACCAACAATATTCTTCAATGACTGCAGATCTGAATTGACTTGAGCGACTTTTTGATCAATTTAAGTTCTAAATAATTCAGGGAAATATTCACATTCAGCATTATTCAGACAAAAACCTCCACGTTCGGGCTACTTTTTCACAGGAAGTTTCCTGTTAAGTTTGAGGAATTACAAATACTGTATAAGAACTTTTCTTTTCGATTTTTACAGCATTTGAACTGCCTTTATTTGCATCGAACGTGCGACTATGGCGGGTGATGAACTTGGTTTACTTAATTTGTCCTTACACTTCTACGGTTTTCATCACTTGAACCTGCCTGAGTGAAACGTTGGCCAGAAAGCCATCAAAAATTGTTTTGCAAGATAGGCATACATATTCAGTTCACTTCCCTTGGGCCCCGCGGCCACTTAGGGAAAAGTACAGAAACGAAAATGGGATTGAATCAAGCATTATTGATTTGTTAATAAAAAAAAGTAGACACAAATAGACTAGGAATTCCATGCCCTTCAGACCAGAAAAATACAATAATTATTACTGGATACTGTAGCATAAAGCTGAAGACAGGCGGTTTGTCTAAAGGAGCGCCGCCATGAAAATCCATCTTGAAAAATGCTGCCATGCAACCAGTAGAGAATTCCTCAAGTCAAACCTTCTCAGAACCTCAGATGCAGTGGAATCGTTTTCAATGGAGGTAGCTGAAGACTCGGTTAACTCCTACAGACTCGATCTGACTTGAGTTAATTTTCAGGCGAAGGTTCGGCTCGACCTCATGTTACCAAGTGTGGGGAGCAAGGTTCGCCATGACGCGCCGCGAAACGCTACTCGCATTCGATACGTGGGGAACTTCAACGCCAGATGATACTTACGCCACTCCTAAATCCAAGACCAACCCCCGCCGGCGGGCTCATCTCAAGTTATCCCGTATATAAGTAACCTATGATTTAATTCTTTTTCCCCCGTATTATAACGCCGACGCATGACACGCAAAGTCTGAATAATTTCAACGACAGCGCCTGAACTCGGAGAATATTTCAATCGATGCAGGCGCCTTCAAAATTTAAATCACATACAGTATTGAACTGCATCATTCCGGCGACCCATTCTAAGCGTTATTCCACGTCTATACATTTACAAAAACCTTACGGCTTGATGAGAAAATTAAGCGGATGTCGAAGGCAAAATTTCCAAAGCTTTTTCATTATTATTTTGTTGGTGGATAATCTGACAATCAACTTTTGATGGGGGAGAGAAGATGCATCGTGACCAACCTGCTTTCATGCGTGTAAATGATTTCGAATCGCCGAATTTAGCTGAGGATTATTTTCGAAATACCCCGTAATTTTGTTAATGTCAAGCGTATCTCCTTTTTCGTAAAAATTTGGAAATGGAAATTTGTGACGTGTCATACACAAAATGACATTATAACTAGGTGTACGTGGATGCATAACAACATTCGTTGCAAAAACAAGGACGCGCTGCATTTACACAGAGTACGCGCCTATTTACTTAATGTGCCACGCATTTTTTGCACCAAAATTGGCAAGTGCGCGTTACATTCGAGTATAAATAAGCCATAGTGATGAGCTCCAGTCCGATTTGCTGAATCTTGGCGTCTAAACACAAGGGCGTGTGATAATGGTATAAATACGCGAATTGAGTTACAGCATTAACTTTCTGCAAAGAGTATTCTCCTAATGGAGAATAGCGAGCATTCGATGCATTCAGCCCAGCAGATCGTCTATTGCGTCAATGCACACAGGGTAGCTCTGAATTCAAAAAACTCACAGTTCGGTATTGGTCGGTTGGTTCGGATCCGGTACGATGGATGCACGGGTCCGATTTGTATCTTGTTGAGAAGCGCTATGGTGAGAATTGCTGAGAGAAGAGCCGTAGCCCACGGAGGGAGAGGACCAGAGTCGCGGATTGCCGACCAACCCGGAGTCCACAAGTATCCAAGGAGTCCGCGGCGCTGGGCCGGCCCAGTTTCGGGAAGAGATAGCTGGGAAGACCCGCGCCTTCCGCCAACCGGGCTCCTCGCTCAGCCGGAGATTGCAACAATTTCCCGCCAATGGCGGCTACATTGGCATCGAACCGCGGAAAAGACAACTGTGTCTAAGGCAGCATGGCGAGAAAAACGACACTGGCCAACAATCCCGCGTCCCGGTAACACTCCGCGTCCGCCGTCGCCCGCGAGCTAAAGCGTGGACTGAGCACCATTTTTTCCTCTTTCACCGTGTAACAGCTTCTGCTCAAAAGTCCCGTACACTGTATATGTACTCTTCAACATTTTCTCAATTCTGATGCTTCGCTTTTGTTGCCCAGGGTAGAAGGAAACGGTTCCCTCAGCCGAAGAGTGGAAGCGAAAAGAAGTCTTCGAAATCAATTAAGAAAACGTGTGCAAAAGTCAGGTATCCACATCAAATAATTACTCGAATTTCCCGTTGAGTTGATTCGTGCATTTGCGTGTGACTTAGCGTCCTTTAGAAGGAAATTTCCCCGTGCTGTGAACGCAGAATGATGGTGCAGTGCTGATTCGTCGATTGTCATTGTCTCGTCTCATTTCGTTGGGGTCTTAGCAATGGATGCTGTATAGGTAATAAAAGTGGTGATTAACTAGCCGTTGATCTCGCACACCGAAGCGACCTCGAACTAATAATTGAAAGTGCGGAATACAATTTAAAAAAAAAACATGAACAATCAAGCGAGTGGGCCACTGCTGTCGAGGCATCCAACGACTGAACGAGGTGCCAGAAAACCGAAGTGCGCGCGGTGTCGAAATCACGGATTCATTTCCTGGCTGAAGGGCCACAAGCGTCACTGCCACTACAAGGATTGCACGTGCATTAAATGCAATCTCATCGCTGAGCGTCAGCGTGTCATGGCCGCCCAGGTGCGTAATGGAACCAATCATGAAGCGTAATTTACTAGAAAAATGTTCATGATTCGCGAACGGGAAAATCCTTTATCATGCATTGCAGATCATGTATTCAAGATCTGCAGCATCGTCGATCTTTCCACAAGTACTGTAACGCGAAAACCTTTTTCTTGAGCCGCGGGAAAATATTTAGTTGACATATTACTTTTAGATTTCATTCATGGATAGAAAAAACCCGCACCCACACGAAACAATAAAATATTTTAACTTCACCTGATGGATTCCTTGACGATATTGTATGTCCACGAAATTTGCTATGGAATGTGCAGCATTTTAAATTTGTATTAATACTGCAGATTCATTTTCCACGGATTATCACGGAGGGACAGAAAAATCCTCAGAATTACACGATAGAAAAGTTTATCATGGGTCTCAATATCATGATTCCGCGCGTTGTTCAAGAAAAAATCAATTACTTTATAGAATGGTAATTCTTTTTTATAATACATCCCAGGATGAAGGGTGCCTTGCGGATTAATGCTCATATTTTGATGAAATCAATCTTGGAAGAATCTGACAGAAACGTCAGTCCAGGTCAAGGGAAGAGATTCTGTAGTCACATCCTGCGAAGACGCCCCTGGTAAACCGCCAACCTTGGCACCTGCCGTAACTGATTCCATAAATAAAAATTCTTAATGCTATCTTACATATAAAACCTTGATAAAGCACAATCAAAATGCAATATTTTCTGTGCAAATAAGCTTTCAGAGTTTTTTTCTTAACCGTCAGAATTTTGTTGTTAAAAGGGGTACTTTTTTAAAACATGACGTTGCAAAAATTTTATTTTCAGAAGAATTAGGGTTCATTTTTGACCTTGGTCAAATTTGCATTGATTCTTTTTTTTTTTTAAGTGAAGAAAGCTTTCCTGGACAACAGGCTGTGAGATCTTTTTGTGCCAGTTCCTCAAAGACAGCAGTAAATTTTTGCTCATTGAAAAAATCCCAGTTTCCACTTCACTGAAAAAGGAAAAATCACGGTAAACCAGAAATTTTGCATCAAGAGGATTTTAAAGCAATTTTATCTAACCGCTGTATTCCATATGTGGGATGCCTTTCTCCAGCCAACATTGACCAATAAACACTGCATTGTCTAGAAGCGAATTCTTTCTGTTGAGGATTGAAACCTGCAGAAGCTTCTGGCTTGGAAAACTTCATGAAATTTTACTTATGTTTAAAGTTCAATCAGGATGTTTGAATACAGTACTTAAAAAAAACTTACTCGTCAGATCTGGACTTATGTGACTTTCCTTTGCTTCATGTAGTGGAAAACGTTTGCAAAAATATGAATCTCATTATTATTATTTTTTGCATTATATTTGTTAAACCATCAAAAATTTGCAAAATTAATGAGGACGTCGTATGAAAGTTTCACTAAAGTAGGTTTCACACACACTATGTAGCGTCTGCTAGCATAAACGATAAGAACAGAAAGTTGCGTGGCAGAGAACATCGAGAAAAACGGATGCGCAGTGGATACATTCATTGAGGAAATCCGTTACAGTGCAAGTAAAAAATGTATAATATATCTCGATCCTTCGATTCAATCTGGATCATCGACAGAATTATACTAAGCCACCTTATAATGAGTTTTCAAAAATACGCCCGAGCGGTCAAAGGGCATTACTTGTACAGTATTTCTGCCATGCAATACTTTTACACATGCTCGTCGTCAATTCCTCAAGTGGAAACTATGAACACTGGATTTCCGGAAAGAATTTCTCTATTCACGAAACGCGGCGGAAATTTCGCGTAGGTGGCTTTGAAGCGACAGCAGGCCGCGGAAGATGCCATCGCGATCGGATTGAGGGCTGTGGCTACCGGGGCCAGCGCAGGCTACCTGCCACCCGGTCCTATTTTCGGCATGTCAGTGACGTCTCCGAAGCCCGAGGAGGCCAACGAGTTATCTGGAAAGAAACCAAACTACACATCGTCGGCCGGCTCTGGAGAAGACGACTCGGACTCGGACCCCACAGATGACTCCTGTAACGCGACTTCAGGTTCGTTGAGCCGAAGGCCAATGCTTTTGTTTCGTTCTTCCCTCAAAAGAATTTGAGCAGGAAACTCACTTCAATTACCTCACTTCCGAATGCTAGAGTTCTGACACTAAGTCGTGATATACAGTACAACACACGTAATTACTACAATATTTAACCGAGTACCACGTGCCCTCGTCGCGTAAGACACGCACCAACAATTACTCAGACCTTCACTCGAATTTTCAAAACAAAATCCGAGATAGTTAGCGCAATAAAATGTGCATGTGAGTACAAGAAAAGATGAAGTATAGAGTATTAGTCGAATAAACTTGTCGATTAATGTACAGTAATTTAAATGCACATTCAGTTAGTTTCTCCAAAGTAAAAGGCTATGTAATTACTGTATATTCTCAATTTATATCTAAATGAGCCTAAATTAGTTTGTAGAGGATTCTTTCACAGAATTTTTTCTGACCTGAGTATCATCAAAATTTCTCAAACATTTGCCAACGCAGGAATCGTATACTTGAAGAAAAGACGCACATCCACCTATTAATTAAATAAAGTGCACTTTGCACTCGCATGAATACTGTGCAGTAATTCAGAATACAGTAAACGCAATCTCTTTTTGCCTGATTCGAAAAATGATTTTAAAAAATGATGATTCTCATTTTAATTTCTTCTTCAAGTTTTGCTTCCGGTGCTCAAGTTCCTAAGGTAACTTCTAAAAAAAGGTACATTATTTTGCAGATATTCGTGACAAGATAATTTAAGTTTACAGCATGAAACTTTATTTTTAATCGGCAAGCGCGCCAACAAGTCCTCCTTTATTTCCACTTCAATATTATATACTGTCTTTAAAGAATTCCAGCATAATTTTCAGCCTTACCCTATTAAAAGCTTCATCAAAAAAATCAACCAGAATGAACGTCTATGTTCTATTAAACTTATTTGACGTCTGAAAAGGATTTCGAAATTAGAATGTTAATTTCACACAAAAAAAGGTTGGGGTTATCAGATCAAAATGTACTAGGGGTTGAACAAATTTCAGCGTACATGCAACGCTTCATCATTGTATTTATTGCCTTATTTCCACGCAGAAAATCAAATCTCATCGATTACAAATACCATACCATTGACATAATATCCCATTTCTACAAATTAATTAACACAAGACCTTCGACATAATACTCAACAATATAAATAGCCGAATAATCGTATGCAGCATACAAATTGTATACAACACATGCGAAAAAATATTTAGTAATTGATTCACACTGCGCTCTCAAAATTCGCGCAGATCTCACTATACGAGCCTCGATAATTACCCCAGATAAATCAGCGTGAAAGAAATCTGTTGAAAATGAGATGTAACAATCCAGTTAATTTTCTCTCTCATGGATTGAAATTTGAAACGGTTAATTGAATGCGCAGTTGATGAGGGTCCGGTTAAACGAGGCTTTGGCATGTCTTGTACTGTATTTATATTTTCGCTCTGCGTTTCGTGAAACAGTTTGAGGTTAATCATATAAGCTCATCCTTCCAGTATCCAAGGAAGGCCCGGATGAAACGGAGAAAGCAAGATCCGTAAACTCTGAGCCAGTGATAGAAGGAAAATGCGTGGAGGTGGACTCCGAGGAAGTTCCCGAACCTCCAAAGCGGCGAAAAGTGGAAGAGGCGAAAGGTCCCGAGGGGAATTCGTCAACCGCTGCTGCTGGGGCCACTGTTGGCAAAACGTGGGACTACAAACTCACGCCCATCGAGATTCTTTCGCGGATCTTCCCGGGCCAAAAGCGGTCGGTATTGCAGTTGGTTCTCCAGGGCTGCAAGGGCGACATCATCCGGGCTATCGAGCATTTCTTGTCCTCGAGTGATTTCAATCAATCGCCGGCGCAACTCATGCAAATGGCGGCGGCTGCAGCCACTTTATCTCGCGTGAGCCAGCAGCAGTCACCCACGAGTCAACCGAAGGCGCCGTTCAAGTCCGCCTTTACGCCACTATCCCTGCCCCAAGCGCCCCCCGCACACCAGAACTCGCCGTTCGGTAGTCACGTCCTCAACTTCCCCGACATCGTGGCGCCTATTTTCATGCCGAGGTCGACAGGCGGGATGTATCCGTCACTTTCCATGCCAGATCCACTCGGTTTCCTGCCACCGCCGAGTTTCCACACGTCGCACACGTCCAAGCTGGCAGCTTTCCCTCGGGCTTCGACGTTTCCGACGCTCGAGTCCATGGGGTTCAGCTCAGGGATGCTGGCTGGATTTCAGAACTATGGCCGATTGCCGAACCCCATGAGCTCTCCGGAAGCTCAGGGCCACATGAATCTAGCGATGGGACAGAATTTGTTTCCAGTGCAGTCGCAGTCGGCCAGCAGGACTCCCAGCCCGACTCATTCCCCGAGTCCCACCAGATACGGCAGCGACAGCCCCGACAGCAATAATGCACCGGCAAGTGACAGCGAGACCAGGCCCAGAACACGTCGGTATACTTGAAAAATATCCGCTCTTCTCTCGAATTAATTTTCAAAGCGTCGCTGTCTTAGTCGTTCTCCTTTTATTCGGCACAGTAACGCTCTGCATTTCCGCAGAGCACGTCAAGGTTAGATTCATTTCTTGATATTTTGTAGTTATCTCTAATCGTCCGAGCAGATAACAGGAATCGAGTTATTTATTCATTTATTTTTCGTCGTACTTCCTTCCAAAAGTTGGTAAACGAAGGGAAAGTGGAAAATGTCTCAGCCAATCCCATGCGACTATATGCGCAAAATCTTGTTAGAAATGTTTAACCTAAAATGATGATTCTTTGGCTTTTTGACGATACAGTTTGTGTTTTAAGTCCCATAGTCAGAATTACTCGTCAGGTGAAATTTCCTTCAGACAGTTTGGAGGGATACCAACTTTCATTGTTAAGTCGCTTTCGCAGAATCCTCAGAATATTCGTTCGTGTTATCAGAACAATAGTGGAAATTTGGGTAGCCGCGAGTTTTATTTTCCCCCGTGAGAATCAGATAAACCCAATACGCGGGAAACACAAGAGCATAAAAGGAAAGATTTCGGAGAGCATTGTACCAACTCCCGTTTTTTTTTTTTTTTTAAGAAGGAAAATCTTGGATTTTATTGAAGTAATACTGTACTGGTTTTCCTATCAAATGCGTGAGTAGAATTCTATCGACAAGCGTGAGAGAATTTTTACTGAGAAACCATGTGTACTCGCATGATTGCTGTAAATGTCGTGCTATTCGCGGTCTTTTTTTTTCAAGCCTCGTCCACGGGGAATTTTTCCACGAATGACTCAGCGAATCACGGGTGAGATTGTTTTAACGCTTGAAACCACGATTAGGAAGATCAAATACATACTGCTGCAATGTGTATTGCGGGAAATGAAGGCTACATTCTTTCCCAAGGGTCATCCTGCGGATGGGAAGTACCCCAAGTCAACACTCCGATCTTAGCGATGGGGATTTGACCATGACAACGCCGATCCGAAGAATACGTTAAGGCGTTGGCTTTCGAACAACTTTTCGCGTTCCAAACTGAAATTCTCTGTTATGAAAACTACTCAAAAACATCGAGTAGCCGACCAGCCATTTTACTTCAATGGAAAGGTTTCCGTGACTCACATTTCACGAAAACCTCTTGCACTTCGCTCAAGAATTTTCTGCAGGTATTCAGCAGAGGTCTCAAAACAGAGTCGAACTGCATCACGAGATGCAAATAACTTGACTTTTATTTAAATCCACTTCAAATAGAAACTACACTTAGTCAAACTTGATTTGCATTATTGAAACTGAACTTGTTATAAAATTCAACCTGAATTAAAACGTCACTATTGAGTGTTGACACGTCCTTTTCCAATCGTGCACATTCGAAAATAAAACGGTAAGCAAAAAAAATGTAAAAAGTTTATTAGAGTGAAAATCGCAGTTCGACCATTACAGCTGTATCAAGATTTTGCCTGGCAAATAAGCTGTTGCCGATCGACGGTAACTAATCGATAAATTACGCTTCTGATCATACCAATGCGAAAGAATGCGAAATCACCAAAATTTAGAGAGTAGTTTACCCAGAATTCCTTCATCGTAAACTGGTTTCGTTATCCGTCAAGAATATGAAAACACTGGCGGAATTTATATGTTTTCGTGTATGTGCACCTTTTGAACGCAATGAATCAATGATCACCTCTGTACTGGACTTGTTTACGAAATTGGCAGCAACATTTTCTAAACTTTTCTTCAATACAGTACTGTAGTATGTTATTGATCGAAATGCTTAAAAAAATATAGACGTCGGATTCGATTAACACTAAATTCTCTGATGACGTTTCTTCAAAAAGGATTCTCTGGAATTAATTGCACTAGTAGAACTCCTTGGCATCTTAACTCGGATTATCAAACACAGTCAACAGTGAATTTATAGTTCCTAAAATTGCACCAGACAAAAATCTTGGCATGATATTTTTATACTGTACGAGTTCCTCACAAACTTGATTTAGTGTGTCACGCCATCTGTTTATTTGGCAATGTTTGGCTCCAAGCAAGGGTTGACTCACGGAATATGACTAAATGAGAAAACATATTGACCTCATATGATACTATGGAAATACTGTACTGTATCTCAAAATCTGGAAGTCCTATGTGTACAGAAGAATTGACCTAGGTGTCATGTGATACACGTAGTATACATCTGGAGGAAATAATTAAACTCAATTAAAATCGTAAAAACCGTTTTTCTTTAATTGAATCGGAGTTCGGACACAGCACGTAAAAGCCCAAATGATCGGATTCATCCCGTCAAAATTTTTTTTTTATTTACTGTACGGAACAGAGAACAGTAATACGCACAACTGCTGGAGAAGCTTCTATGTGGGCAAAATGGCGAAGAGTCGACATAATCTCAAAAGCAGACACACTCATTTTCTGTAATGAAGAAGTACTCATGACACTCCCATACATACAGCATGAGATGATCCAAGTACGGTAGCTACAGCATGCACAAGCGAAGTGAATTCCAAACGGAAGGTGGAATCCATGGAAGTTCACGGAGTAGGTTCAGATAAGGGTTTCTCTATCCGTGACAGTTGAGGATCAACGCCGTGTATGACGCTGCAGTACTGTTCGCTACATAGTCCTTCCTATCCCCCTTCTTGAATGTGCTGGCCTCAGAGTGCGCTTATGTAGCTCTCGTGGATGGGATTAAAAAAAAAGTACACTGATCCGCAGATGCATTAGAATTAAGCTCCAGCTTCTGCCTGCGAATCACGCTATTTCTTCAACGTGCCAAAAATACAATAAGAAATATGAAAAGCCTGGCAGGGAATAACAATTTTCAGTACAGCACTTCATGGCCTATAACCTTCGAATTCCTCATCGTGATCGGACACTACAATCAGGAATAATAATGTTCTTCTGGAAATTCAGTACATACTGTACTGCACTTTCCTGAGAACATCTTGGTGCACGTTTCATCATGTAATTATGGAGCTCTTGTCCGAGCAGTGCCATCTATACGCATACAAATTCTCGCTCGACAGCCAGTCGAGATTCGACAATTACTTCGGTAAGTCTCACTCAGCTGCTTTTCAAGGGCCAGGGAGACCTCACCTCGGGCAGTCATGCTCTTGGCGCAACCAAGTCCTCATGGTTTGAGTTCCAATAATCCCGCATTTGCAGATTCAACTTTTTTTTGCTACATTGAATTAATGTCTTCTTGGACCACGAAAGGATGTAAAAATAATAGGAACGCCAGATGCACAGTAAAACAAACCCGATTTTATTGCCGTGTAAAATCTCAAATGATAAACTTTCTTCTCGGTTTTATACAAAGTCTACAATCAATCCATATAAATACTGCAGAATGGTCGTCGGGATAGAAGACGGGTTCTCCAACTATGAAAAAACGCGTTCTCACAGTGCGGAGAAAAATATTCGGCCGGTAAGGCATCCTACGGCGGAAACAATCCACGAGAAAAATACATTCAAATGCACACAACATTCCCAAAAATGTACCTGCCGACATCCGCTCGACGAGATGCGGTGGGATGAACAAAAAGAAAAGAGACTACATCAAAAATCGCCACCAGCCTCTCCAAAACGCAAAGATCCTCCATAAAAAAACACATCAGGTCGCCAGTAGACCAAAGATCCGACAGGAAACGAGTTCTTCTCGGATTCAAAAATAAACAAGTTCGCTTCACTTTTCATCCACGTTTCAAATTATTGCTGCTGTCGGGACACAGTTTACGGCCTCTTTTCTTTTTATATAAACCTCCAAAAACTTCTCGGACGCGCCTGCAGCAGTCGATTCCTTAGGCACTTCAATTTATTGCCCTCTGAAAGAGAGAAAAGCAAGAGCTCCGTTGCATGCCAAATCAAAAAGCCTCATCACTCGCAAAACACCGGCGGCACGCAACAATCCGCTTAGCAAAACAAGAACGACTCACGGGCCCCGATCGATTGTTCCTCAAGCTTCGCGAAGGCGTCCTGAATCTTATTCTAGCGCACAGGACGGAGGTAAGCAAATCTCGTCACCATCAGCACGATTGAACGTTAATCCCAATTATTGCTTCAGACTCGAAGTTGATCGTTGCTGCCAAGCTCTCCGGAACTGTTCGCGCCGCAGTCCAAGGCAAACTTTCCGCGCTCAATTCGGCGTGCATGTTTCCCATGAACAAGGGACGCGTTAAAAAATTAAAATAAAAACCATCACAGAGACTTCTTCTTAAGCCATTGAACCAGATGAACACCTCTAACCAACGGGGCGATACGAATGAGAAGATACACAGAGATCTCACGTGAAAAAAATGATTGATCCTCCACTGACTACCACGTATCGACTGACTGCCAATGGAAAGATATATGCTTTAAGAGAACAGAACACAGAGGTCACCGCTTTGCGAACCTAATTCAGCCACTCATTACTGCCAAATATTACAAAAAAATGCGAGGGCTTCGATTTCTCCATGTGAGTAATACGCCAATAAATTCAAAGCGTCAATGTTTAAAATTTAGACAATTCAACGAAAGACCGCGAGTGAACAAGTTCTGGCGCCATCCAAACGCCAAGTGTACAGTTTCGGAGTGATATTTGTCATGTTAGCACCATCGAATACAACACTTCTCCGCGAACAATTTCTGATCCAGCCAAAACGTCGTAGCACAAAACATTTCCGCAGAGGTCCAACAAACAAAAAATTACGTCATAGTTAACGGTTTTATCCTCAAAATTTATCTCTCAGATCTCCGGTCTTGTGTGTAGCAATTTAATCTGCCCTGGATAAGAGGAGATCTTCGCGACAATCCCAGTTGGCTCATCGACGCGTCTCAATCACGCAGAAAACAAAACCTGACGAAGCACGTAGCTGGACTTCCGACTTGAAAATTCCATTCGCGCGCTTCCGCTTTCTTGAGGACATCAGGAAGATTTCTGATCACAAGTGACTGAAGCGAGTCGTCGGCTACCCAATGAGCCGAACGGAACAACACCAACTCCGACCTGGACAAGATCTTACTTAGGCCTGAAGTAGTTCGGTCCGCTGGCTGACAATGAGGGACCGGGTTGCTGCTGCTGCTGAGGGGCAGGTCCCATTTGTGGCGGGCCTGGTGGTGGTCCACTCCGGTTTGTGTTCGTCGCATAAAGTTGCTGCTGGAAGTTGTGGAATTGCTGCGCGTAATTCGGATCCGTGGTCGTTGGGCCCATGAAGCTTCCTTTGAAGGATCCACCTGATGGAGGCAGAGGTTGCGACGCGTCAGGTGAAACCCCCGGCGGGACGGCGCCCGGGCCACCCATCTGGGGTCCCATCGGCGGTGGCCCTCCCTGTCCAGGTCCCATCATTCTGGGGTTGTACATCATCTGATTCGGATTATTCGGGAAGTCTCCGGACATGCCGGACGGCTGGTTATACTGTCCACTCATCATTGGGCCTGGGCCAGGTCCTGATCCACGAGGGCCCATCATGGGTTGATTTGGTGGACCTCCCATTGGGTTCATCGGGCCGCTCATGCCCATGGGTGGCCCATGACCCATCGGTCCGTTCATGCCACCCATGTGCGGAGGTCCAGGGCCCATCATAGGAGGTCCGTTGGGTCCAGGTCCCATATGGTGCGGACCCATCTGAGACGGGTGCTGTCCCATCGGGCCCATACCGGGACCATTCATTCCACCCATGTTCATCGGTCCACCCATCGGGCCACCCATAGGTGGTCCACCGCCCATTGGTGGGCCACCAACCATCGGAGGCCCTCCACCCATCGGTGGTCCGCCACCCATGGACATAGGACCTCCCATCGGCCCGTTCGACGGCCCCATTGCATTCGGGGGTCCGCTCATGCCCCCGCTATTAGGCGGAGGCTGTGAGTTCGGAAAATACTGCAGATTATGCGTGGGAACTTTACCGTCCGGATTGTTCATTGGGTTGGTGAATCGGTTCAAGAACTCCAGACTAGGACGAGGGTTGGCGTTGCCCGGTATCATGCCACCAGGGCAATTCGGGCCACCACCAGGCTGTGGTCGCGCAGGAAGGTACTGAATGGTGTTTGGAGCACTCGCTTTGATATGAACACTTGCTCCTCCGGGATAAGGCGCCATCTGATTCATCGGCGCATTGCCCGGACTGGGCCCTGGCCCGGGAATAGGCCCGCGGTTTCTTGGGGGCATGGGACCCCCGGGAAACCCTGGTCCACGTGGACCTGGTGGTCCCAGCATATTGCTCATACCCGGAGACCCGGGTTTTGGAGGGCCGAGCGAGTTCGGCATCATCGGTCCAGGAGAATTTTGCATCATTGAATTGTTCGGGTTATTCGGTCCCATACTGTTCATCCCCATTCCCATACTCATGTTCATGTTCATTCCCATGTTCATGTTCGGTCCAGTTGCATAAGAATGCTGCGGCATCGGACCCTGCATGTTTTGGATATTCATCTGCTGGATGGTCATCGTGGCATTTACGTAGGTGTTGTTCACAGTTTGAGGCCCGACAGGTCCCATAGACATATTCTGCTGTTCTTGCATGTTTGTTTGGAAGTTTACCATTTGGACATTGTTCGGATTTCCTGAACAGGACATGTTGTTACTGTTCATCGCGTTCATCATCACACCGCCGGAGTTGCACGGCATTCCCATACCTAGAAAATACAAAAATTGGAAGTACTGTATGTGCACTTCATTCAGCTCACTAGTCCCTCAACAGAAATTGGATCAACGCGCTCACTAAGAAGTAAGCAAGCTCAAGTGACAATACTAAAAATGTTTCTCAACAATCCGAGCTTTTGGAGTAATCTCCCGCTATCCTGTCCACCGCCCACACGATCTAATCTTTCAAGAAATTCGTCGAAAATATATCGTATCTCTTCAAGAAAACACGTACCACCAGAACCCGACATCATTGAGGGGGCTGAGGAAGACACAGGCATTTGAACTTGCTGTTGAACCTGGTGAGGCATCATGTTGAGGCTGACGTTCATGTTCATGCTAGGCGAAGGTGCGGAGCTGCCTGATGTGAGCTGCTGCGTCATGTCAGCCATAGAGGAAATAGGATCGAAGCCAGATTTCTGTAGCCCGGGCATGTTCGGACTGCTCCGCGGGCCGGACGGATGCATCGGGTTTAGCGGCAGGTCCATACCGCCCTTCCGTTGCGTTGGGGACAACTGAGGAAAGTTGGGTGGCTTCGACCCATTCGAGGCACTGGTCAGTGGCGGCTGAAACCGCGCACCCATCACAGACGAGGCTGTAGATGCATCCACAGCAGACGGTCCCATCGGCCCACCCGGACTCCCGAACCCACCACCATTGCCCATGCTTGGGGTCTTCCGACCGCCGACGGACTGCGAGCCAGGTGTTGCGGGGTTTGGCGTTTGTGACGGGCCTCCGCTGTGCGGAGATGGCACGGGGTAGTTTGGAGCTTGACTAGGAGTTGCCGGGGTGGCGGGCTCACACTTCATCGGACCACCGCCCAGTTGCATGTCCGGGTTCGGCGTCATCGGATTTGGCGTGTTCGGTCCGGAAAATTTAGAAGGTTGCTGTGATGTGTTCGTAACGCCCATACTAGCAACAATCCCACTCATGTCCGACGAACCTATAGAACCCGGGTTGTCCTGAATATCCTTTGCGTCTCCCATTCTGAAATTATGCAGCATAAGTATTGCAGATAAAAATCACAGGGTAGCGTTCGAAAGAGTCGTTTTCCAAAAATCAATCACGAGAGGCATGTACCGATCAATAGCTCTACTGGAAACATAACGAAAATACAGCATGTTTGGAAAGTAAAACTCAAGAATAAACCTAATAAGGAAGGAGAAATTCACCCTAATTCACAATGACAATTCGACACGATGGAAGTGATCAATGGGCCGTCATGAGGCGTTGAAAGGCTTTTTTAAAATGTTATTCAACTTTCAGGAACGAATTACTGTAATTCGATTCACACCGTTGAAAAGGGGGGATTTAAGAGACTAATGCGGTGTCGGAACGAACTTAATTCGTTTCCTGGTATAGTATATTATGACATAGTATATTTGCTCGATTATTGGCAGCATCTTTTCTCCGTAAACTACTCACAAACGCTAGAGCAACATTTACTCAAAATATTCGCCTACGAGCCAACCCGACTGAGAAGACTGCATTTTATGCTCAGAATAATTTTCCACCAGTATAAAGCCCTTAATTTGCCAGATTGAACAAGGATTTTTTTGTGGTTTTTAGAAGCATGAAAATCGGAACTTTTTCTGTTTGCAAGCAGCACTTATTCAAAACAAGACAGTTCACCTAAAAGTAAAAACCTGCTGCTGAATGGTCATAAAACTTGAAACAATTCGTAAGCTACTGTCATTCACGCATGTGCTTCGCTCCAAAATTATAAAATTTCGCAGCTTAAACCATTTTACCGTCGGAATGACTGTCCAATATTGGAGTGCGAGCCATTCGCGAAAAATGAATAATTTTCCTTGTTGGTCTGAAATTTTTAAAAAATTAGGCAGTGGGACATTTATTTGAGATATTTTGTCCCTTTTTCGCAACTCGAACGTAGGATTCATAGCGAAGCGACAAAGATCATGGCGCTGCACTTCAAGAAGGCTTCGCTCGATGGGTACATCCCACATCCCTCGCGTTCCAAAATGTTCTGCTTTTGTTATTAATCGCGCCTCCGTAGGACCATTAATAACCAAAAAACAGCGTTTTAACCCACATAATTACTGTCCAGCTAATCTACCAAATGAACAGAAACTTCGCGCCGGTTTATTCCAATCCTTCGGGCGATGAAATCCAATAGAATTTCTTGAGATGACAAACTGCACCAAGAAACGTCTATCGACGAATATCGTAAAACCAGAGCAGGCAATCCTTTCCTAAGAGAAGTCTCGCAACGATCGGAAATAAATTCACTCACCCAGGAGACATGATCCCTGGCAAGATGTCGCCGGAACCCGGATCACGTAACGAAGTATTGGGCTGCTTATGAATTGTCAATTCCTGACCCTCGAAAGCGTTCAAGTACTGGATTTGTTGAGGGGAGGGCACAGGCATTAGATTTGGCTCGGAATTCATATTCAACTTGGCATTGCTTCCAGAGTTTACGCCGGACTGCAAGGGGCTAGCTGGAATTCCCGAGTTTGTATTGAAAGAGTTGGAACTGTTGCCACCAGGCGTGGACGGATTCGACCCTGCCAGCTTGTGCGGACCGCCGCAGGACGGTGTTGACGTCGTCGGACTTGGACCTTGCGAGAGAGGTGGCTGCTGCTTCTGTTGCACGAATGACTGCAACTGCCGCCCGAACATGCCTTCCGCTAAAATAAAAAAAAGCTATCAACGTCAAAAGTCCGATCGTTTTACTCGAGTTTTCTTTCGGACAACACAGTTTAAGCCAGTTCACAGATTCGACGACGATCGAGTAAACCATGACAAACTACGATTTCAAATCATTTGAAAAAATCTATGAGAACATTCTAGGAAAAATCTTATTCGAACGCAATAATTCACAATAAGGAACGGAGGAAAGCTAACACATACCCATAGGGGGCATACCTGGACCCGAATTCGGCGGGCCAGGACCTTTCCGACGCCGATCCTCGTAAAACTCTTGCTGCAACTTTTGCCACTCCAGTTGCGCTGCAATTCCATGACCATTCGGGCCTTGTTGATTTGGGAAACCCTGCATGTTTGGTCCAGAACCCATCATCGGGCCAGGACCCATCTGCATTGGGCCATTGTGCCCCATCATCATTTTTTGTTGTTGTTGTTGTTGTTGAGGTCCCATCGGTCCAGGGCTCATGACCATTCCATGTCCAGGCATATTTCCTGGTCCCATCATACCAGGACCCATTGGACTCGGCATGTTTGGCCCCATAGGGCTAGACATGGGGCCCATAGGGCTAGGTCCCATTCCACGGCCCATCGGCATCGGTGGACCGCCCATCGCATTCTGCGGATAGCAGAGACACAGAGATTCATGATCTGTATACCGTAATCTCGTGAGTACTCAAGTGCAAACAAGTGTAGATGACTGATCGAAAATAATGCAAACATCAGAAATAAAACTTACGACTAGGCGCAAACGCGACCAACTATTGACCGACGATACACAGTTCTCACGATCGATTTATCTGAAGTGCGATAAGAATATCCGTTGCGAATACGTTCAACAATCAGTGATAGCAATACTATTAAACCGATTCCTATTTCCCACGGGAAACGTTCCCAGGCGGCAAGAATAAACCCAAGCTACATCTTAAATCAGCTTCTGAAATGGCCAAATTTATAATGAACTATCTGAGCGCGATAACGAGGGCAGGAAGGCAACTTACCGGCGAAGGGCCTTGCATTGATATTGGCGGCATGGACGGAATCGACGCTCCACAGCTATTTGTTGGTGTTACGGCACCCATCGGCGGATTGGCAGACATGGAGTTCGGACTGCATGGTGGTCCCACCGCTTGCATTTGGGACGTCGGAGGACCTCCGGCCTGAGTATTGACAGGGCCTGTATTAGATGTTCCTGTTGCTCCATCCGAACGAAGCAACATTTTGCTAAGATTTCGCAGGGTGGCTAGCTGCTCTTCCCGATGTTGTCTTTGTTGTGGCGTCAACACTTCATCCGGAACTCTCACACCTTCGATTCAAGAAAGGCGAGTTTGAGACTACGGAAAATACGTGCGATTCAAGAGATACGTGGAAAAAAAAACTGACCGGTTAAGGACGGCTGCGACTGGGACATGCCTTGCGTAGCCATCATCATCCCTTGATTCGGTGAGGTACCACTGCCTGGGCCTCCCATCACCGCGGGCTGACCCGGACCAATTGGAGATCCCATTCCGGGAGGCTGTAGATTTACAAAATAAGAATTCAGGTCACAAACCGAACTGACGAAAAACACAGGGTTTTAAAATTCACGTTAAACATGATACTTTGGTAGTACCCTATCGTAAAGGCAACTTACGAAATTCCAGGGACCAGGGCCTGGGCCCATGTTTCCACCAGGTGGGCCTCCTTGCGGCCCTCCCGGGTAATCAGCAGGAAACATAGGAGCAGCGTTCCCGCCCTGTGTCATTTGGCCAGGAGTGGGACCGGGCATCGGAGGACGCGGGGGCATTCCAGGACCGGTGGGAACTACTTTCGCATTGCCAACACTTTTTCCCTGCTTCATCTGAGCTAAGCTGTTGAGCCAATGGGCTGGATTCTGTCTGTTGAATTGAGCCGTCTTGAGCGGATATTTCTGGAATGATCGCACAGAGATTAGCCTAAGGTTCTCCACCGAATGAATCAAACCACGGAAAACGCACATCTAGGAACTTCTTGGTTCCTGGCTGGTTGCAATGATAGTTTATGATGGTCGGAAATTGATTTTTTATAACGGCTTCGGCAGCTTGATTTGCCATATTGGTCGTAAAAACAAATATCTGACTTTGCTGCTGCATATATTGGGCATCGAGCGTGCACGGCTGCCCCTTGCCTTGTTGTGGAGTCCCTTGGGGACCACCAGGTGGTAATAGATTGCTCGCAAGGGGTTGCTGGTGTACGGGAAGATTTCCTACATTTGGGCCCAAATTGGGAACCATCCCAGGAGCTGGCATCTTGCCCGGGTGACAATTCTGTGCCATCCCATGCGGCGAGCCGAACTCAGGACCCATGGAACAACCTGCTGCGAGTGACGACATCGCCGACAGTGGTACCGACGGATCTATGAAGGTGAAAACAAAACAGAAATCTGTTCTATAAGTCTGAAGTTAGAAAGTCATTATCGGTATCATGACGATCTTTGCCAGAATATATTATTCCATAAGGCTCAAAGCCACCAATTGTTCGTTGTTGGGGTGAAGGTTGGAAAAGCCGTAGTGTTACAAGATAAAATAGTAAATGCAAACCTCGTCACATACACTTGACCGGAAGCGAATAGTAAGACGCCCGTAGAAAAATCGGATAACTCTGCTGGAATTGTTCAAAACACCGTTATGTAATGTACGTTAGCCTTAGAGTGATTATATTGGAAGACACGTGGTACTTCGATTGCCACGAGTAGAACAATGTCGATAGATTCGTTCATCACTGTTTCCATGTACTATATTTTTCCACTCGTAAAAGGGGAACAGACTTCACTGACACTAACCATTTTGATTGGAATTCAGCACGCAATCAAGATTCGATGACATAGGTCCCATGTTGATGTTGGAGTCGGCGATATTAGGCTTCACATCAGATAAGATGCCGAATTCGCTCTTTTTCGCGCCGTTATTCATGTAACCACCGATGTTGGGCTTGATATCACTCATCGCACTGGAATTTGTACTCGAGCCGACATTGCCACAACTCGCGGGCGACGGTTTCATGTCGGGATTTCCGTTCTTCTTGTCCATCGTCTTCGCGTTATCACAGTCAGACACGGCATCGCCGTTATATATAAATTTTTCTTCCTTGATCACCAAGCCCGACGCACTCGGACATCCAACTGAAGCTGGATTGTCCAGTCCGGACATATCCGACATGTGGGTTCCGCTCAGAGGCACAGATGCTGGCCCACCAGTCATGCCAGGTCCCGACATAGGTGGAGTAGGCACAGGCTCGTTCGTCGGACAACCCATTTTCACGCCTCCATTTCCGCTACCAAGCACATTGTGTCCCACGAGGGAACTGCCAGATCGTTTGTCCTGCTTCATGGCGCGATGACGGACAATTCCGTCATTTTCTACGCCAGTTATGAGCGCCAATAGTTTCCAGAACACGAGAAAAATGACCTTGAAGTCTGCGAACTTTGATGGCGGCAGTACAATTTGAATCGTGATTCCTCCCCCGCCTCCACCATACGGGGCAACCTGAACGCAAGGAGACGTCCTTCTTGAAATTTAACGCAATAAATTGCTCATCGGACTTCGAAAAATAAATTCGAGAGACTCTACAATTATATCCTTACGGGGACAAAGAGAAACATAAATGAAGTAACAGCTTACCATCCGTCAAAAGCAGCTGACGCATCACAACATGGTGGGTTTTCGTACAATTGCAACCCTAACCCAACCCGACAGAGAACAGCGGGAAACACGGAACGTGTTCAATTACGTCAATACAAATCATTATCAATAACACATCCTGCAAAAGTAAACAACGATTTTCAACCAGCGGTTTTTGACGCGTCGAAATAGTCGAAAGTCAGAGCAGTGTTCAACACCTCTCGTCCACCAAAAAATTTAGCAGAATTGTTCATCCAATTATCATTTAGAACAGGAAGATCGAACTATCAAACAAGGAATCGACAAAGTGCGTTTCTTCCGAGACACAAATGAACTGTAGTAGGTTGAAAATCAAGGCCTTTATGAACGATACTTTACGGGGAAGATGATACTGAGAAAAATAAAAGCGACACCATGAACGAGACATATGCTTATGTACTCGCAAGACGGAAACACTGATGAACCAAATGGCAAACCGATAAAATAATTGGAGATGCAGCTATTTGGGAATGTACGGTAGTCAACTTAATCTCATCGCAACAACAAAACAAAACAAGCATGATAGAAGAGTTGAATTTCGAAACTAAAGTCCAGGGCTCTAAGAAAACTATTGACATACGAGGCACATGTGTAAGACTTCACGCGAAGGTAATTATCAAGTCAGTCATGCACGCACACGAAGATCCGAGCGCATGTTCGGGATGACCAGAAACCGAAGAGACTTGAGCCAAAAGTTTACATGAACACCAAAACGTCTCAGGAACTGTATCTACTGGGATGAGTGTAATTCTTAAAATGAACGTGAACACTTCGATGCAAATAATCCCGATTCGACGTTCTCGTCCCGTTCACGATGAATGGCAGCACGTTGCTAGAACAAGTCGAACAGAAAATGAACCTCCATTACTGACAAAAGACATGTTCAGAGGATCGACAAATGTGCACACTATTAATATCATACATTAGTTAAACGGATTGTCTACCACTAGATCTGTCAGATGCACTATCCTGCGGTTTCAACGAGATCTCACTGGAGAAGGTGGCCACCATATTCATTTGTTGTTGTTTACTGGGTCGAGTACGCCTGTAGGTTGGCCGGTGCACCTGAGAATAACTGAACTACAGTATACAGTACTGTACAATGGTTCACTGGGCGTACACAACGTTCTGGAAATTCGACTTGACATAGTTGTTCAGACATCCTGCAACTAGTGTAATTGATAACGAATATCAAGATACATTTCAAGAGTACTAAGCATATGCGCGAAATCGTCAGTGCTGTTACCATTAGCTGCAGTTACTCATGGAATATACAAATTAATTACTGTTTAGTAGTTTGAAATGCTGAACCTATAGGAATATTTCCCTTTTACAATGAAAATTAGTTTCTTGACTTAGGATATTCTTGCATGCAAGGTTAACGCAAATCACTGATGCAACAATTCATAGTTGATCGTAGGACCCTATAGGTGAAGTCACTCACTAGCATAACATCAGTTCGCCGGATGTATGGCAAGTGGCGGAATTATTGCTGAACGTCCGACAGGCAAGTTGAGGTATGGAGCTCATTGCTTGCAGCGTGTCGAAGAGCACAAGGCATTACCAACGGGTGTAATATGTTGACGAACCCACTTCAATTTAATGAGAGCGAATGCGAACATTCCCGAGGAACCCATTGAAGTGAATTTATTCCTACTGATATAATTCTCTGTTTCGTGATGATACATGCTGAATCGGGTCTCAGTTATTGTCACATGACCGCGTCACACTTCTCGCGATCGAATTTGAAGGTGGCCGTGTGGTGAACCGTCTTGCTCGTGAAGTTTATGGTTCATTGTCAGAATCGAAAGCGTTGATGGTGCGAAGTCCTGAAATCAAGCGCTTGTCCCTGCAGGTAGTTTAGCTATAGCCTAGTGGTCAATGGAGTGCATACGGCGTTGGTGTGGAAGCTGTTCGCTGTCTCCTTTTTAGTGGTAACCATATCCGTCCGTCCTCCGGGACGTCGCATTGCTTCGGCACCCTTAAATGCCTCTTTACCTGATGGAGTTCATATCGTTCCATTATTTTCGACTGAACTGCTATTAATCTACTAGTAAAGAAAACAGCACAGATGGAATCGTCTGGGATACCGAAAAGGTGAGTTTTTCAAGTGATCAAAGTAAGACTTGTGAGCGCCCGTGGTTATTCTAGTGCTGCGTTTCCGCGGGGAAGCGTTCATTTCTTCAGTCGAACGTACATAGGTTTGCGTGTCTTCGTGTGCATTTTTTCGTTATTTGTATTTGCAGTCCTGGCATAGTCTTCTCGTTCTGTTTTCTTGCTTTAACCATTTTAAAACATTAATCATATTCAAATTCACAAGTTTAGCTTTGCTCTGTAGTTGATTCGTTCATCCTGGATTGTTTTCATTTGATTAACGTTGCATCTTGGCATCGTGAGCGTGGTATTCTCACCTTCTAGGCTTCTGGTTAGATACGTTAAACCTGGTATTCACACATGTGTTTTTGAAGTAGTGAGTCATTTTCTTCCAGGTTTATTCCTGTTAGTTCGAACGGGCATCATATGCCCGCAGAAGGCCCCGATTTATCTTGTTTGCCATCGGCTCAAGAGGCAGATACCCATCATTTCAATAAGGACCTGTTTCAAAGAACTGTGGTAATCGAAAGAGATGCCGACGGCGGTTTCGGGTTCACTGTATCTGGTGTAAAGCCAGTTCATGTTCTACGAGTGAAGAGAGGTCAGTCGAGAGATTTGTCCAAACGCCCCTTTTGCGCAAAGGAGTTTGAGACTTGACGGGAGGTAATCATACATTTTGACCGTATTTCTCGCACGCGTTTAATCTTCTAGGAAGTCCTGCGGCGAACGCCGGCATTAGGCAGGGCGATGTTCTTTATCAGGTAATTGAGGTATTTTTGGCGTGCGTTGACTTGTGGGGTTCTTCCTTCTATTGTCGGTGCATTCTTCATTGTTGCTGGAAATATTTAGTTTTAACTTCAATTATATGGATCTTGAACTTCATTGAAAAGGATCCATTATTGAAAGCTTTCTCTCTTCAATCCCTCTGGGATGCGCTTTAATGTTGTGCTGGTAATTCTGCATGACATTCCTTCTATTTTGCTTTCCAACTTGTATGCTGCATGGTAATTCATCTTGGAGAGACGTTGGGAATTTCCATTTATTTCCTGTATTCTGACGAGATGCTTAGTGCTATTTTTGCTTGGTCAACGGCTATGCAAACTTTTTTTTTATCACTGCGACTTTTACTTGATTCGCTGCCTCACCCTTCTCAGGTTGATGGACAATCCGTGAGCGAATTGCCCCACGACAATGTCGTCGATTTGATTAAGAACTGTTAGTATATTCTTTCTAATTGAATAATTGTGGCGTCCTGACGGTTCTGCTCTATTTACCGTAATTGACAGCGAACTCGACAGTCATCCTCACGCTTCTAAGTGCTGGATTTAGTAACGAAGAAGGAAGGATGCCGTCGAACGGGGCGAACACACCAACTTTTTCCTTCGGGGCCACATCTCCTTTGAACCCGACAGCACTTTTTAATCGTCCGCTACCCCCAACTCCTGGCCAAAGTAGCTCGCACAGAGGATCGATATCTGAAAGAAGCATAACAGGGCCTCAGCCTGTTACAGTGCGTTATCATGAAGGAATATTATTTTGTGCTGGGTTAATTTTTTTTTTCTCCCAGAGTCAGCTGCAGCAAAAACTGGAATGCGAAAAAGAGAAGACCTTACGGCAGATGTTGGACCGCGAGAAAAACTTCAGTGAGAATCTACGAATGGAGCTTCGCAAGTGCTTCGATCCGCAAGAGCGCCAGATTCTTCAAGGAAAATTGAACAATTCGGAGAAGACTGTGGCGAGATTATCTGAAGAGTTACGAGGGATCACCCGTTCAACCAGTTCTCAGGTGAGCATGTTTCATGATCTCGTTCGTTTTTTCATGAATTTTGAAAACATCTTATCTACTGCATGCAACTGGGATGCCTCTTTTTGTATTGTATGTTGGTTAGAAGAAGGAAGTAAACTAGAAAGTAAATACCTTCTCACAGACTGTGATCGAAGCTTGTCTGAGACAAGGTTTGAATGTTTTACTTTCTATTCATGAATGTTGAAGAATTGTTACTGACCATCGTTTGTTTCAGTTGTCGAATGATTCGGCAGTGCCACCCCCACTTCCAGTTCGGAATAGAGCTTTGATTTCACACACGTCAGCCCCGAACCTTGGTGGCGAAAAACCTGGAAGAAGCCTGAGTCCCCCCATTATGATTGCCGGGCATCGCTCCATTAGCTCAGTGCATCGCAGTCGCGAGGCTGGGGTGCCTCGCTCCCCACCTCCGCCTGTTCCGCCGCACCGTGTTGACCCAACGCAACTTGCGAGCTCTCGTCACAAGTCGCCTTGTAAAGACGAAAAGCGGAAAATATCTGAGTCTCACCTTCTGCCGGTTAGCCTTGCTCATATCTATTGGCGTATTTACTCTCACTTCCAACTGTGACCCTACCATTTCATGTGTGTTCTGCAGCGCGGAAAAAGCGAAGATAAGAACCTAGACGAAGCGGAAAACCAGAAGTTTCACAAGCGCGCAAGGTCAAGTCCCGAGTCCATCGGCTTGGAGTACCTGGAGAAACCTGGATTGGCTCCTTTACTGGCACGTACGAACGAAGACTCCGAAAGTCCGAATCCTATTGCCGCCTTACTTGCTCGTTGTCACCCTGGGTCTCTTCTGGATTCCTCCGTGGAACATACGCATTCACCGTCGCCTACTTCCAAGCCGTACCGCTCCCACTCGGATTACTCAGGTGCGGTTCACGTATTCAAATTGTATTTATTTTTATCTATGCTGATCGCCAAAGCTTGCATTTTGCATTAAATAAATTATAGTATCCCCGCTGTATTCAAAAGTGATATTCATCGATTTGTGAAAAGGAATGAATCAAATGTAACCCATTGATGACAAAATTATGCATTTCTGGAAATATTGCTGAACGATGATTTCACAATGGTTAAAACATATTTTTAATGCAGGAAACCGTCGAACAAATGGTAAAGATGCCGAAGGTAATATGCGGCGGCCGCGATCGTTCGTGTCCGGAATGGAAGGTGGCTCCAGTGACGCTGGAACTGCTTCTCACACTCCACCGAACCTGAAGTATGGCTTACAGCAGGCTGTGTTTGGTAGCAAACTAAGCAAAAAAGCCTGCGTGGGCGTGCGAAGAGCATCCGACAACGCTTTTTCCGGCGATACGGTTAGTTTTGTTGTTGAATTTTTTATTCTTGGTCATTACCACAGTTTTCAAAAGATTCATCTGCCCACAAGATCAACTAACGTTTTCGGTAATTCTAGTGTTCGTGTGAAATTCCCGTGAGTACAGTGTTGGGTCTGAAGTTAATGTAATCATGTGATCATTGTTCAAAGTTATACAGGTGGACTCTCTCTAGTAGTCTACTCTAGAACAATCTTGTCAAGGACGATTTTCTCTGTCTAACTTTTTTGTCGCTTAGGGATCCCTCCACATGTCATAGATGATGTTCGATGTTTTTTTCTGGTCCCTTGAATTTCGTTGTAGAGAGAGTCCACATGTATTATCCGAAGTATGGTACAGTATTCGTTTCGAAATCATGAATCATTTTGCAAAAATGAATCCAGCTCGGATCAAAATTGCGAACATCATTCACCGAAGAATGCCCTGGGTCGCGTCGTGCGTTCAACATCGCGAGAATGGCTTGAGCGGGAAGATCGCGTTCCCTCGAATATTGCACTAAGAATGAATGCATAAAGCATTCGTATGTGGCGAAGAAAGTTTCTCGACTCGAAGGAATCTCTAGTAGTACTGTACTGTAGAGGACAAAATGGAAGTTTTCTTTTTACTTCGTCATATCCTGGGATTTTTTATGATTACTGTAACTGATTTTGAGTCTATTTCTGGTACGTTCGAAAGAAACGAGAGTCCGGTGCATGTTCCGTTGCTGAAAGAGTTGCTATCCAACCTGCACCCGTATACGTTTCGCGTCGCCTTATCGCTGGGAATGATTTGTTTTCTATTCGGTTTCGTGAGACGGTGATATGTCATCGATGAGCTGTCGCAAACCGAAGTTTAACGCTGCAATGTTTTTCCGGGGAGTATCTCTTTGAAAACTTCCTTTTGTCCTTACGGATTTCAAATCGAATTTTAAACGTAGGAGGATCTATGTACAGTATTTTTATTCCATAATCCTGTGAACTGCTGTAGTTTGGACGTTTCCTTCGGGATATCATTCGAAAACATAATACTTCTTGTGTCTTGAAATACTGTACAGTAAGTCATATCATTTTTACTTGTTAATTTGCTTACTTGATTTGAATTCCTGGCGTGATGCATCAGAGGAACTGTGCATTGGTACTAACTGTATTGGCCTATTTTTGGTAAATATAGGCCAAACCGTAGCAGAGGTGCTGTATATGTATTCAAACATTGAGGTTGTTATTTTCGGCTAAGCCAAATAAGGGTGCGCCCTGTATTCACGTTGATTTGGCCTTTCTGGGCTGGCTACGTTCGACTTATTCTCGTGTGATATTCCTAAGAAATTCGCAGCAGGGTTATTCTTATCATTTGCGGCTTTATAGGTCTAAAGACTGTTGCTTCGGTTCCATTCTCATGGCATTCCTTGGAAAATTCCATTTAAAATTTATAGTACAGTAGATTTAATTTCTATAGCTGAAAGTATTCATATACGACAATTTAAGAAAGCTCATGTCCGCGCATTTTTCGAACACTCCATGGTCTTCATACAGTATTCATCTTTCCTCAAGATATTCAATGTCGATGCGACTAATTGCTCCAATGTGCAGCACAGTATTTTTTGTGCCCAAGATGTCGTTGGACGACATTTCCAGAACATTTCTTCGTTTGTATGCAAAAGCTGTCATCAACTTCGAGGTGTCACTTCACGTGTCGTTCGTATCCTACTTGGTTTGCCCTTTTGGAATCCGTCGGATCATCTCATTGGACAACATTTTC